TTGATCAAAACTAAACCATACCTGCCGTTCCCCTGAGGAGGCTGTGCCTGGGAGAGCTTGGAGCAGCTGAAAGAAACCCAGTCAGAAACGTAGCGCCAGGCCCCCTCCTAAACCCAGATTGGCTCTGACTTTTCTGAGTTTCAACCTTTAGGAGACCCAGGGCTCACTCCAGTCTATTCCTGGACCTAAAACATCCACCAGCAACAAGTAACACTGAGAAGGTTTCATTAGAAAGTACCAAAACACCCTATTGGGGACCAGCATTGTGGTGTATCAAGCTAAGCCGAAAAGGTATACTTGTGCCTGCAGGATTTTCTTTAGTTTTTCCTGTTTCTAAACAGGACAGTGTATCATTGCATGAATCTGTGCCCTTTTTAATAATGGCAGCCAGGTGGGGGAAAATAAAACGGTTAAAATGATGGTGAAAGTATATATTCATAGTATATCATTTGCATGACTGTTTCATTGTCATCAAGCATGATTTTTATGGTTTTTTTAAATGATAGCCTTGGTATGGGCATTTGGCACAGGGGTTAAGATTCCCACATTCTGCACTAGAGAGCCCAATTTCCTGGCTACTCCACTTCTGATCCAGCTTCCCGCTAATGCACACCTTGGCAAACAGCACGTGATGGCTCATTTGCTAGAGTCTCTTCCTCTTACCTGGAACACCCAGACTGAGTTTTGGGTTCTTGGCTTTAGACTGGCTCAGCTTACAGCATTGTGTGCTTTTTTTGAACAGTGGCCCAGCAAATGGAAGATTTCTCTCACTCTCCTTTCAAATAAAGTGAAAAGAAACGAACATTTAAACAATAAAGTCATAACCTTAAGTCTTTCATAGATGAGAGCTCTTCCAAAGGTTCATGGAGAGTGTGCAATATAAGAAACATTCCGCATTGATCTCAAACTTTTATTTTCTGCACCAAAATAAACTTATCTTTTAGGCTCATTTTTCCATGAGCCATTTGATAACTTCTTGAATGTTATTCATGCTTTATTGAGGTTATAAATCACTTGTCACATAATTCACCTACTTGAAATTAGCTCAATGTGTTTTTTATTACAGTCAGAGTTGAGCATCTATTATCAATCAATTTTGGAGTATTTTCATCACTAACAAGAAGCCCTGCACTTATTTGCAGTCACTTCCCATTCTTTCCTTCTTTTTCTTTCTCTCCCTCTGTCATTGTATCTTTCAAATAAATAAAAGCAAAAATACGTCTTTAAGGTAAATTTATTGAGTTACATCTTATCTTTTGGCTAAGGTCTAGATTCAATGGCAATTCCGTTGGGCAATTTTTCTTTCTTTCTTTTTTAAGATTTTATTTGAAATTCAGATATACAGAGAAGAGAGACAGAGGAATATCTTCCATCTGATGCTTCACTCCCCATGTTGCAACCACTGCAGCTGAGCTGATCCGACACCAGAAGCCAAGAGCTTCTTCTGGGTCTCCCATGTGGGTCAGGCCACAAGCAGGGAGCTGGATGGGAAGCGGGGCTGCCGGCATTAGAACCAGCGCCCATATGAGATCCTGACATATGCAAGCATTTTAACCACTAAGCTACTGTGCCAGGCCTGGGTAATTTCTCCACTTATCTTTATACTCTAAACATTTCTTAATTTGGTAGCTTCAAGCATCATTAATCAATGCAGAGTGCACATGTTGCACACAGGCTCTCAGAGTAATGGTGCTGGCTCCTCAGTCCCTGCCGTGGGTCGCCACCCGGTGACAGTTGTTCTAGCTTTGGCAGCAGACAGCTTCCTGCATCAAGAGTGCTGATCAGATCACATTTTCCAATGTACTTTCAGATGTGCACACGGAATTAATGCGCTGTGTATTTCAGAACACTCAGAAAGCCCATCTCAGAGGGGCAACACCAAATTTCATATGGAGAATCCATCAATTAACCCATTAATGGAATTCTGATATCAAATAAATAACACATGTAGCAGCCTTTCAGGAGCCCCGAGTTAGCTGTGTTTCTTTTTATTCACATCCCTGTGTGCACCATTGCCCTTGGCCCTGATTTCCCTGGGGTGAGGGAAGGCAGCAGGAGGCTGCACATACTGGGTGATCACCAACGGCCTGTGTTCCAGCCCATATGGCCCCCTGGCCTGGGCGTTAGCTAGCCCATCTGGACCGCAGGTTCTTCCTCGGTTAAAGGGAGGCATGCCTAACCACTGCATGGAGGGCAGACCACGGGCTTACTCATTCGTTGGCTGTCAGGCTTGTTGGTTCTAGAGGAACAAATGGTGGTTGTTGTGCAGGGTGCTCATAGTGTCCCTTTTATGCTATTGAGCACATACTATAATTAACCCTCTAAATTGTCGGTTTTTAAACAGTTGAAGGAAGATAGCAAAGACTGAAAATAGTAGATGGGGGCAGTACATAATGTCACACCCTCCCCGCTGTTAAAGAATGGAAACTTCATAACCACTTAAAATGTTTTACCCTTAAAGAGGAAGTTCTTGTGGGAGGATGGGAGGGCTTCATGACAGAAACAAAATAGGTTTCTGTAGTGAGTTTCTGAACTGTTTCTTCCAAAAGGGTTTTAAGAAGTGAAATGTAAGGAAGGGTCCAACTCTACTGGATGAAACTAACCTTGTAGTGTATCTTCCCAGGATAGGCGGGATTCTGAAACACACTGAGATTGTCTACCAGTTTTAAAACTCTAAAAAATGACACATCTTGGAAGGCAGAGCAGGGAGGGAGGGAGGAAATTAGCAAAGAAATTACTTACCTCTTTGCGTCAGATCTCAAAGGCATGCCTAGGGGGGAGATGACATCTTTGGAAAAGCATCTTCAGCTGTCTTGCAGGTGAGGCCAGCTGAGGGGATTTAACACCTTCATGCAAGCAGTAAAAAGCGTTGAGGTCCTTTTAACAAAACCCAGCTTTGCCAAAACTACTTGGAGGTGACACCTGAACTCTGGTACTCCACTTCGCACCTGAGCCGGCCTCTGGCGGAGTAGTTTATCCCGCTAAGATGGTTGGCCTTTCGCAGCACAGATGGCCTTTCGCAGCACAAGCACAAACCCCGCCGGTGGGCCCGGTCCACAAACGCACCCCTCCACTGACGGCCCTCTGGGGAACGTTTTCCACGTTGAATGGGGACTGGAATTCAAGGACACTGCATGCCTTGGCGTCTCCATAACACAATTACTGAATGCATTCTTGTCTGGACGTCAGTAAGCTGCTCTTAAAAAGGGAGTAGTTGCACTGCCTCGATCAGCTTGCCTTCCAAAGAGAGTGGTGGTAATCTGACAACGCACCTGGCGCTCTGCTTCAAATGCAGAGGAATGCCTTGGCCGGCACAAAGCAGGGTGCACGTGCTTGTGACGATCTTGGACACCTGGTGAGAGAAGGGTCCTCCGCACAGGTGAAATTGAGGCTGAGACGAAGAGGCAATCCGCAGGCAGACTACCAAGCGAAAGGGAGCTGCTTGGGGATGGTGAACAGGAGTGGATGGGAAGTCCAGCGACCTCCTGGAACAGCATAAAGGGTCCAGGCCCCAAGCACGGTGAGTGAGCCCAGGGTTTCTGAGGTTCTACAGCCAGGCCGGAGGATTTCGCTTTTAGCCCACATAGCAAGAGCGGCATGTACTAGAACTTTTAAAGCAGGCTTAGGGAGTGTGAGGTGTCAACGTCTGAAAAGGCAGGGTTGCACTTCGATGGTGCTTTAAGATCATATTTCTAAGTCCTGTGTGGGTCAGCACGCCCCGCTGGCGAAGGCCGCCTGCACTCTGTGACCAGGCGGGCTTGTGACAATTAGCAAGCACAGGACGGCTCAGCGACCTGCAGCCCGAGCCAAGTGGCTGCAGGGGCCGCGGCTGCAGAGCACAGGAGGGCGGAGGCCGTCCCGTGCTGGCGGCGTGCGTCCAGGCGGAGGAAGGCCCGAACCTGTGGCGCCCGCACGTCGTTCTCCGCCCACCCGGGGGGCTCCCGCGGCCCGCAGCCGTTCCCACTCCGTGACTGGCGAGCGCTTCCTAATTTGGTGCTAGAAAACAATGGTGGCTGCGGGCTGGAGGCCACGGAGCGAGTGCTGGGGGTGGGGGCAGGGGCGATGTCGGGAGTCGCCCCGGCCCAGCGCCGCGCCGGGGAACCGCAGGCGTTGATTTAAAGGCTCGGCTCGCTCGGGCCCGCTGCCCACATCCTGCCCCGAAGGGGGTTGGGAGGGCTGCGGCCCGATCCGGGCGGGCCCGACGCCGGGTTTTCCGGGCCACCAGCATCCCGAGGCCGGGCCCGGAGCCGCAGGTCCCCAGAGGGGACCAGGCTGAGGATGCGCTTGAGCCCCAGACAAGGAGGAGGAGGATCCCAGCCCGTCTCGGGTCTCCCTGCCGGAGCGTGCGGAGGACAGCCCGGCGGAGAAGGGCCCCGGAACGCCTGCTCCCTTCCCTCGGGCCTGGCAGCAGCGAGCTTCCTCAGAACCCCAGAGCTCTGCGGTGCCGAGCGCGACCTTGGAGGCCCGCAGGCTCCCGCGCTGCCCTCAGACCTCGGCTGCCGTGGCCTGCGCTCGGCGAGGTCTCCCCGCCACGGCTTCCGAAGTAGCTGCCCCGCCGCTCGCCATCACCGCGCCCTGGCGGAGCGCGCGGCGGGGATACTGTCGTCTGTGTGGATCCCCCGCCTGCCTCTGGAATGTCCGCCCCGTCTCGGGGCACGGGCTGTGTTTGTCCGGTGCTGCTGCTGGCTACCCTGGCACCCACGACCGTCCGGGGACACCCTCGCCTCGGCTTCACCGCCGAGACCACCCGGTGCCGTACGAGGACCCAGTTACCTCAGGCCGCGCCGGGAGGGGCGGGGCCTCGCGCTGACCCCGCCTCCAGCAGGCCCCGCCCCCGGCAGGAGAGCAAGCATGCAGCTGCTCTAGGCTCCGCCGGAGGGGCGTGGCCTCGAGTTGGCCCCGCCTCTAGCCGGCCCCGCCCCCGTTGGCGTCAGGCAAAGCGGTCCTTCTCCCTCCGGCCGGTCCGGCTCCTTCTCCGACAGTTGCGAAAACCCGGATCGGAGGAGCCGCAGAGCGGCGGAGCGACGCCGCCCCTCGCGGCACCTCCCCGACCAGCCCGCGGAGGCCGCGCTGGGCATGCTCAGTCGGCAGGGCCGTTTCAGCCCTCGGAGTAGGAAGCTGGGGTGCTCCGGCTCTAAGGAGCCGCGGTAGGGGCGAAAATGGAGTCCTTCACCAATGGTGAGTGGGTGGCTCGCGGTAGGGGTCGTGTGGGCTCTGTGGTGGGAGCAGAGGGAAGTGGGGCGTTCGCGAGGCGCGGGGCCGGAGACTGCTGTCGCCCCCGCCGCGGTTTCCCACGAGGGCTGAGGGGGGGCGGCGAGGATGGCCGGGGCTGGGGGGACACGGACACCCGCCCGTGCCGGCGTGAAGGTCAGCGGCGCGGCCAGCGGCCGGGATCCGCGTCCCGCGGCGCCGCCACCGAGGCACCGAGCCGCGAAGTTTGCGCCGCTTGCGCACCCAGGGGTGGGGGGCGGCGCGGGAAAGTTGGCGATCGGGCCTTGCCCCCCAACCCCCGCTGCATCCCCTGGAGAACGCAGTGTGGGCCCCGGGTCCCGTGCAGACAGGGGACGCGGTGGCTGCTGCTGCTGCTGCCTGTGCAGCTCCCTGGGAGCTGTCCCTGTCCTTCGCCGAGGTGTCGGCTTGACTTTTCCTCCGAGGGCGCGGTGGGGGGACGAGGGTGCGGTGGGGACCCTTGGCTGGGCTCCTTAGCTGGAGCGAGGCAAACTTGGGGACCCGCCCGGTGGTGGTGGTGGTGGCAAGGAGCCGCCTTGCCCGTGTCACCACCTCCTCCTGGCCGAGGCGGCAGTTGTTGGGAGGGAGAGCTGGGGGGTCTGCCACGGTGACGGCGCAGTGTGACAGGAGACAGGACCCGGCTACGGGCCTCTTCCTGGATGCTGGGGAATCGGTCCTGCCCCAGTTAGCACGCTGGCTTTTGTTCGGACGTGCAGCGCGCCGGGAGTCGCCACGTCGGAGTAGGCTGTTGTGCCGTTCTGTGGAGAGGAATGTCTGGGAGAACACACTTGGAGACCACCTGCCCGTTAGGGGGTTCGCTCTCTGGTTTTCCAGAGCTGGCTTGTGGCTGCGGACTGACTCTCAAGGCTTCTTTCTGTTGCCCCCCCCCCTCGGTGGGTCATGACCACTTTGATTCTGCATTTGCTTCCTTTTCAGGTTTTGTTTGTCATGCCTGAGGCTGGTGAAGTTACCCAGAGAATTAAGGAAAATTCGAGCAAAGGAAGCTAGAGGGATCATCTAGCATCTTAGTAATGGAGTTGTTAAGTCCTTGTAAATAAATACTGCCAAGCGTATTTATTTATTTATTTATTTTTTGACATAGGATGTTACATGTGAAATGTCACCTAAGGCTGAGCCAACCATTTGGTTAAGATTAGCACTGGTAGATTTGTCCAGCCTCCACCTGCAAAATACCTGTCAAATCTTGAAATGGGAGTCTTTTCTGCCTTTGCGACCTACACCGCTCTAGATATGAGTTCCCGCAGATTTTCGTTGGAGAGGCAATGGAAAAACCCCAGGGAAAAAAGCACGAAGAGAAGCAGTTACTTGGACTTTTTTGTTGTTGTTGGAAATTAGACTTAGGGTCTTTCCCTGTTTTCTGGATTTTCAATCGCTGCTGAAGACAGTTTGGCAGTGCATCATTCTGTTTTCCTGTGTAGATTCCCCCGGAGCCCAGCAAGGCATCCTGAACGGGGAGGAGAGGTAACGGCCTGCCGTCTGAAGTGGACAGGCGCTGAGGTGCTGGCAACCCTGGGTGCTTTTCAGGTTCAGGGTGGACAGGATATTTCAGTGTTTGAAGGATTGTTCTGCAACTTCCTAGTTTCTTCAAACATGACAGATTTAGCGGTAAACATGTTTACCTTTTTATTGAATGCTTTGAGTGCAAAGAAAAGTATGTGCATGCAGTTTTCCCATAGATCTGGGGGTTCTGGTTCACACCGCTTCATTATGCACAGAATTGGTGCCACAAAATTTGTCGAGCTCGGTGTTGGCTTTTTATTGCGTATATGTCCTCTTGAAATAAAACCTTTCCCATGTAGTCTTTCTCATGTATCCCTGAGCACGTATGCGCCCTGGCATGTCAGTTTAACAAAATAATCTAAGTAGGGACCACATATCTTTCACATAACATCTAGTTGATGGTTTTACCCTCTGACCCATGTGTTGATAAAGGAAGTGACCTTAGTTTTTGTCTTGTCATTCTGACCTTTAATGTTCATATGTTTCAGGAAGGTTTTCAGTAGTTTCCTTGTTTTCTGTCGGAACTTACTACCTGTTTTTCTGGCTGGCAATCCTAGGCCCATCCCGTATTCAGCTGTCCAGGGAACAGGCTGCTGTGGCCCACTGACGACTCCTGCCACCTGACAGGGCCCGCACATGGACCTCCGTGCCAGGAATTCCTATTTGGCTCCAGCGGTATTTTGGGCCTGGCTTCCGGGAGCAGTGCTGACGCTCAGGGCTGAGCAGTGGCTTCCAGGCTGGCTTTGGACCTGCTTTTTTTGACTCTTTGGGTGGAGGGCTGTCCTGGAGCAGTACTTGTGTTGTTATGGCAATGGTTATTGTGACTTGTTAGGCAGGTAGAACTACAGGGATTAGGAGATAATGCTTTGTTGCATGTTGAAACAAAATATGCCCGTTATTTTAAGTTGTTTTTGTAGGAGTACTATTTTAAAGCAAATGCTTATTTGGTGTCTATGTAGCCTTGTCCTCATTTGCATGCTGGGTTGGGATATTTCAGAATAACTTAATTATGTGTCTTAGAAATGCAAATGCCAAGGCTCACCCCTCTGAACAGGAAGCCTGCAAGTCTGTGACCCCATTTTCAGCGTAGTGGGAAGTATTTCCTGGAAGAGAACTTTTGGGAAACTTACTTAGTTATAAGCAAATTGCAGTTTGGGAACCTGTTGGTGGAGAAGGACTTCTCTTTCTGCTGTTCTGCTATATATATGTTTCCTATACTTTGCTGTGTCTGATACAATCTGAAGTAAGTCTAGAGATTGGAAAGGCATTGGAGTCTTAGAACTGAAAACGTGATTTGTAAACAATTTCCCCCCTCATTGTGAACATGGGGTCTATGAATGACTAACAGTGTGCCACATAATCAAACATGGAAAACTTTTTTATATTACAAATTTTTTTAAAATTTATGCTGATATCCTGGTTCCCAAGGTGGAATAGTCTTTGCCAACAGTTTAGATATTTGTGGAGTGCAAGGTGGTATAAAATTGTGATTTTATCTTCTTATGTTACAAATAGCATTTTTTCATATTTTCCATCCTTATGAAACAGCCTTTTTCACTTTTTTTAAGCATTGCCTGTTAAAAATGTGAGGTTGGCACGTTTTTCTTTTTGCTGTAAATGACCTCCTCAAGAGAAAACTCTTACAAAGGAAAGCTCATAGTTTCTTCGATGGAAAATATCTTAAATCCTGCTTTTTTGTCCTTGTGTCTTCAGTTTTATGTTTCCTTTGGGGAAGAGCACTGCATAGAGGGTAGTGTTACTGTTAGCAGTCTCAAAGTGAGGCTGTGACTAGAAATCAGCCACGTTTTCAACTGGAAACAAGAGGTAGAAAAGTTCTTTGCCTCTGCTTAGGAGTTTCCAAATCTGGGTGTCTTGAGAGAAGATGGAAACCAGTCTACCTTAGAAACTGGTGTGACCTGTGATCATCTCTCTTTGCCAAGCCTTGAGAACAGGGTGTGAAAGATATACAAGCAGCAGAGAGAGGCTGTGAGGAAGTTGCCATGGAAAATAAGCAAAAGAGTGATTTCCTGCTCAATGCTGTAGTCAGACGTCATTTTTGCCTGCTTATGAACATACCAGTAGGTCCTCTGCTAGGCATAGTAAGGAAGAAACCGACTTGCCATCTGATAATGCTAACCTAAATAAAGTGCATGAGTTGAACGAAACTAGTTTTATTTTCATATAAGGATCATCTTACTGCATTCTCTGATTCCTTGTCAGGACATTCATGGTCGCTTGTTAGTAAGGCCTATTTAATTCTTCAGTTGAGAGAATGGGAGAGTGGTTGGGGCATGCTCCTTCCCTCCTGTAGCAAAGGCTGACCTGGACCTGCCGTGGGCTGAACAAGCACCCCAAAAGTCAGCGCATTAATTGTTTCAAGGATCTGACTTGTGGTCCTCGTGTTATAGAAGTAATGTAGTCAAGGTTAAGTGGAGAAGGCTGTCCTGGCCCTTGAGGCTTAGTGAGAGGACCCGCTGTGCCATCAGGGGTCTAGATCACAGGCAGGAGTTGCGCTGGCCATCTGCTGCTTAGTAGCAGTAGTAGCTTATCTGCTGTGTAGATCTGATGCTCAGTGGCTCAGCCCACTGCCGTTGTCTTTTTGTATTAGATTGCAAGGTTGGGTTAAGAAGAAAGCTCAAGTTGTGTTTACTCAGTTGCTGGATGCTAAGTGGGAATAAGACAGGATTTCACAGTGTGACTTCCATTTGCAAACAGGTAACTTCCCAGTAGGAAGGAGCACATAGAAAAATTGTTCAAAGAAAGAGTCTAGTCTGGCTTGGGGGTTAAATTAACACAATGTGTTGCATTACACTGAAATGAGCACATGTTCACTAAATTACAGCAATGAGGTTTAAGAAGAGTTGATGGCTATGGAGGTAACAGGTGATAGTTTTTGACACAGTGATTAAGTAGCAGATGAAGACGCCTAAGTGTAACCTGGAGTCTCTGGTTCAATACTCATCTCTAGTCCTAATTCCTAACTCTGGCTTCTTGCTAATTCAATCGCTAGGAAGGTCACTGGATGGTTGCAAGGCTGATCCTGCCACTCAGGGGAGAGACCTGAACTGAGTTCCCAGTTCCCTGTCAGCCCAGCCCAACCCTGGCCGTGTGTTGTTTTGCAGAGTGAACCAGCAAAGAAGGGAGCTGTTTGTGTCTGAGATAGATAAGTAAGAATTTGAAAGAAAGATGCAAGTTTTCCATTTGTGAGGTGCTCTGGATAACACACTACATAGCTGTATTTTAATTCATTGCCAGTTTGGAGAATACTACCTAGATAAGACTTGAAAAATCCATGCATTGAGGCTTTTTTCTTAGCATGTGATTGAATGACAGTGATGATTGGTAGGAAAAAAAATGTAGTCACAGTCTTAGCCTTTTGAGTAATTACTGATTGTAATGGATTAATAGTTAGCAAAATGGGTTAATAA